CCCTACCCCAGTGTCTCCCAGAGTTTCCCCAGTGTTTTCTAAAAGCAGTTTAATAATTTAACTTAAAAAATAATGGCTCAGTAGTAAAGCCACATTGTCATTGCTTTATGTAGCTATGGAACAGATGTAGCACTGTAAATGAATTAATTTGTTAGATGAAGACATTCTTAAGAATTAGAAATGTACAAAAAAGCCACTCAGTCCCTATGCTAAAAAGGAAGGTTAATTTATAGTTGCCTAAGCAAAAAAATGTATTCTTTCCTAAACTATACTTTGGTTTAATCAGAGGTCTATAATATGGATTATTGTGAGATCCAAGGAGCATTCAGAACATTCTAAAGGTTTCCCGAGAGGAGCAAGGCCATTTAGTTCCATTCATTACTGGCCAGTGCATGACACAGGAACTGGTGCCAGAAAATCTGACTGTAATTCTTAGGGCACTGCAAGAGATGCATCGTGATTGTCTCAGATGCAGTTACATTATAAAATAATTGTTCCAGTATTGTGCACTTAAAGTTTTGTTAAGAGGGGAGGTCTTATGTTTTAAGTTTTAAAAAGGTGTTCCTTCCGGGCATGTGTGCGTGCGTGCCCAAGATCCCAAGAGGAGAATGGAGGAAAAAGGATTGCGTCGTGGCCATCCCCCTGGGGGGGGTTGATTTCTTGCTTTCTATCTCTCTGTCTCTCTGTCTGTCTGGCAAGTGCACAAGCCCTATAGCAAAAAAATTTTAAAAATCCTCTCCAAAAAAAAAAAGGTGTTCCTTTTTTGCTTTTGATCTTCGCCATAGGGCACCTGTATCAACTGGAGAGAGAGAGAGACAGAGAGAGGAAACATGGAAAATTACCCTGAAGGGGGCATGGCCATGCCACAATAACTGATTCATTTTCCTCTTGGAATTTTGCACATGTACACACACTCACCTGGTGTGAATTTCAAGTTGCCATGTCCGAAACTCAAACCGTGTTCATCTGTGTGGGAATCCTGTGCTTTAACCACCATGCTACCAGCTGACCCCAGATGTAATTACAAGTGAAATATAATGGTGGTTTGCAAACACCTTGGAGTGCTTATTCATTTGGTAATTTTCACCTTCACAGGGCATCAGGTACTGTTTATACAGCACTAGACATTGCAACAGGACAAGAGGTAAGTGCTACCATTGAATCTTGATTCTTTTCTCTTAAGATTTTTGTCATAGGGCATGTGTGTTCACTGGGGAGAGACAGAGAGAAATTCTGAGAGAGCAAGAAATCCCCCCCCCCCAAGAAAGGATGGCCATGCCTCAATCCCTTTTTCTTCATTCTCTTCCTGGGGATTTTGGACACACATACACATGTGTCTGGCATGGTTTTCAAGCTGCCAGGTCCAGGACTCAAGCTGAGGTTGGCTATGTTGGAATCCAGTGCCTTAACCACCACTCCACTTGCTGGCCCCATGAATCTTGATTCTTATTTTTTTTTCCTATTTATCAGTTTTTCTCTTTGATGGCATCTATGCCTGAAAAAATGCATAGCACCAGATTGATGTGAGAATTGGATGCTTTACTCGCGATTGATCAAAGAAAAAGGGCATGTATTTATGGCAAAAAGTAAAGTAGATATGTTTAGTAGATAAAGAATTTGTATAACTCACTCTTTCCCCATAATATGTTTGTAACAATCATAATTCATGTATTTTAATCATCATTCAGGTGGCCATAAAGCAGATGAACCTTCAACAGCAACCCAAAAAAGAATTAATTATTAATGAAATTCTGGTCATGAGGGAAAATAAGAATCCCAATATTGTTAATTATTTAGATAGGTAAGTATTTCCTCTCATTATGTACTTGTTTTCTTCTTTTCTTTATAGTGTGTCATTTTCTTGGCAAATTATTTTATTTGGAATTTATTCATTTAATAGTCATTCTATTTACAAATATTTCTCAAATGCTAATACTACAAAGTAGTGTATAAGGAGTCTTCAAAAAGTTTATGGAAATATGTGTTTTGAAAAAGCTATACATGGATTTCAAAATAAATTCATACTTTAATTCCACTTTTTTCTGAGCTTTTTGAAGTACCCTCATATTAGATCTGTTGTTAAACTTGTATCCACTTATTTTTGTCCACCCATCAAATACTTGAAGAAACCTTTTATGGTCTAGTTTCTAAACCTAAACAGTTCGTGCAATTTCCTTTTGAAGATCTGGCTCCATTTTGACAGGAAATAGACTATTGCATATAAGAGAGAGTAGTGATGTTTTAAACATTTCATCGAGTGTTTGTTTGGAGCCAGCACTGTCTCTAGGAGTTTAAAGAAAGCTGACTACAATAGCCCTGTTTTAATGGGTGCTTTGTGATTAACTGACAGTGAGATCTAGGGAATTGAGACTTTAATCTGAAACCTTTTCCTCAACCAGATAATTAATGTCTCTTTCATCAGTAGTATTAACAGTGTGTTATAAATAGGCATTTAAAGACAGCACTAACTCTTTACTCATGGTTAACATCTGCCTCATTCAATTTCAATAAGTGTTTGTTTAGCACCAGTGTGCGGTGATCTCTGGGGTGGGGGATGAGGGATACAAAGGAAATAAGTCTGGGTGGTCTTCAACCTGGAGGAGCTTAAGATCTTGCTTTTTGTGTTTTGGCCAGGTAGGCCAATGATACAGGAGCAGGAAAAAAGGAAGAAAAAGAGGGTCAAATTTTACAATCTTTATTAGTATTTCATAAAGCATTGTTTAGGAACCATTGATCTTGGTAATTTTGTGAAAATTGCATTTTTATTGGTTAAAAAAATGCATATTTCTTGGCCTCTGTCCATAACTAAGGAAATGGAGCATGTGAAAGTTTGTTTTCAACAGGCTTCCAAGATGAATCGTATAGGCACTATAGTTTGAATATCATTGGATAGAAAACTTTTCTGCTTATTGATGTGGGACATAGGCTAGGGTGGAATCACTGGGGTCATTCTATTCCCTATAATTCACCTCTTTTGTTGAGCAGAGGCCAGAGAGACCTTATAATACTGTTAAAGTACTAGAAGATGGTCCCAAGTGATTTCAATAACCTCATACTCTCTTTACCTGAATTGTAGGGAGCTAATGACCTTTGTTCCCATATTTGATCACTTGGAGTATATTCCTCAATAACTATTAATGATATGGGTCATGATATGGGTCAACTCATAATTGACTTCAATTAGAACTGAGATCTGAGAATATTAGAGCTCCGGGACCAGCAGTTGGCGTAATGGCTATGTCGCTGGACTCCCACGTAGTCGACCACGGTTCGCATCCCGGACCCGGTGGCTTAAAACTCATGCTGGGCACGTGTGCATGCATGCCCAAGATCCCGAGAGGAGAACGGAGGAGAAGGGATCGTGGCGTGGCCATCCCCCCCCCGGGGGGGGGTGATTTTTTGCTTTCTGTCTGTCTCTCTGTCTTTCTCTGTCTGGCTGGCGAGCACACATGCCCTATGGCAAAAACCTCTCCAAAAAAAAAAAAATGAATATTAGAGCTCCTGATTCCTTAGTCTCAAGTTGAAAGTCTTTTCCTTTTCTTATTGTAGCTACTTAGTAGGTGATGAACTATGGGTAGTCATGGAATACTTGGCTGGAGGCTCTTTAACTGATGTGGTCACGGAGACCTGTATGGATGAAGGACAGATAGCAGCTGTCTGCAGAGAGGTAAGAAATAGAGCATTTATTAGTTCTTTATTTCTTCTTACTTAGAATGTTTAATAACAAGGTAGCAATACTACAACTTTTCTTTTTTTATTTTTTAAATGTATTTATTTACATTCATTCACTGTACATCATTACAGCATACAAAATGAGATTTTCCATCCAGAGTACACTGTAGATTGGCTCAATCAAGCACATCAACATACATGTTATCGTCAACAAATAATTTTCCATTTCTTGTTTCATATATGTTTTGCTTTTTTTTCCCATCCTTGATTCCCTTTCTCTTACCCTCTGCCATCTCCCACTCTCCTCTCACACTTTCTCTGGTATCTATGTTTGCTTTCTATACTCCCTCCCCCCAAATTTTATTGATTCACTAAAGATCTTAATTAATCTAAATACTTCCATAGCAAGCACAGCTGATATATACATTTCCATGAACACAAATCCAACTTCAGGCATAAGCCTCAGTGAGTAGAATGAACATCCTATAAAGTAGCACCTAGCTGGGGCTACGTATCTTACCGCAGTCATCAAATAGGTATTTTTAATGCATTTCTTTATTTCAAGTAAAACAGTTTTAGTTGATTTTTCCTGAAACTTTTTTTTTAACTTAATTTACATTCATTCCCTAAGCATCATCACAGCATATAAAATGTGACTTCCCATCCAGAATATACTGCATAGTGGCTTTATCATGCATATTATTATCAAAAATTTTCCATTTCTTGTATTTTTTTAACCCCTATTTCTGACCCTCTGCCCTTTCCCACCCTCTTCTCACACTATCTCTGGTGTCTTCAGTTGTCTTCCATTCCTTCTCCCCCACACTGTATTGATCACACAATTTCTTAAATAATCTAACTACTTTCAATGGTAAGTTCACTTGGTATTATTAAGAAAACCAGTTTTAACTTAAAACAAAGAAATGCCGAGGAACTTTGCTTAAAGCCAGGAAACAAGTTAGGATTCTGTTCAAATGGTAGGCACATGAACCTATCAGAAAGAAAACCAGTTTTAACATAAATCAAAGAAATGCTAAGGAACTTTGCTTAAAACTTAAAGCCTGGAAACAAGTTAGAATTCTGTTCAAGTAGTAGGTACATGAACCTATTGACAGCTTAGGACAGGACAAAAACTCTTGAAACCGGACAACAAAGCCGAGAAGGAAAGCAGCAATATTTTTTTTAGTCAAAAGTCACAGAATGCTATTTCACGAGATCAGACTCATGTACTTAATCTATCTTGTGTTGTGGATCGATCTTCCTGATTGAATTCTGGGATATAATATTCAACTCCAGACTTGTCCCTATAATACTACAACTTTTCTCCTGGGAAATAAAAAGATGGGAGAGCCTAAGTTCAATTTAAATTCTAACCTTATAGCATTCCACTTTACCACCCTCTCTAGCCACTTATTCATTGGGTCTTCAGAAAAGTCATGATGCATTTTTGCATAGAAAAATACAACATGGCTTTCCTGACTACCTATATTATTTGCTTTTCTAGGGATCTTTCAAGTTCCAGGAAGCATTCCATGGTGCACAGTCATAAGGTGCCATATCTAAGCCTACATACTGTAGTCTTGGTGATCATGGAAAACAGTAATAATAACATGGAGCTTCTTTCTGTTTTGGAGGAATATTTATTTGATATTTGTTTTGTTCTGCATGTACAATGTGAGCCATGCAAAATATGGACCATGTTATATTCCCATCATTTTCTATAAGGCACTTTTAAAAAGATTCTCCTTCCTCAGCCCAGAAAGTATTAATAGTTGCTTTAACAGTATAATTTGAACATCCCTCATAGCCCTCCAGTGGACCTGAGAGTCTCTCTTTTATGAATAAAAGTATCATACTCATCTAGTTTCAAGCTGAATTAAGGATATTTTTAGGGGCTAGCAGTTAGCATAATGGCTATGTCGCTAAACTCCCACATAGTCAATGCGGTTTGAGTCCCAGTGGCTTAAACTCACGCCGGGCGTGTGTGCATGCGTGCCCAAGATCCCAAGAGGAGAATGGAGGAGAATGGATTGTGGCATGGCCATGCCCCCTGGGGGGGTGATTTCTCACTTTCTGTCTCTCTCTTGTCTGTCTGGTGAGCACATGCGCCCTGTAGCAAAAACCTCTCCAATAAAAAAGGATATTTTTATTATCTTTTGTTCACCTTGTTTTTAAATTACTCTTTGTCAGAGTTTCATCTTGGATTCTATTATATACTTCATTCATTGTGGTAAGGCTTTCTCTAGATAGACGTAGGAGCTCTCATTCATTGAAAGGGAAGCAAAAGTAAATTATACCTGCTAAACTTTTTTTTTTTTTTGCTAAATTGTTTACTTAAGTTTGCTCCTTCTTTTCTTCCTTTTTTTTTTTTTTTTGTTTTTAGAGAGATTTTTGCTATAGAGCATGTGCACTTACTGGAGAGACAGAAAATGAGAAATCACTCCCCAGGGAGGATGGTCATGCCACAATCTCTTCTCCTCCATTCTCCTCTCAGGATTTTGGGCACACATGCACATACACATGGCATGAGCTTCATGGTCCAGGACTTGAACCACAGTCATCCACATGGGAGTCCAGTGCCTTAACCACTTTGCCACCTGCTGGCCCCTCTCATCTGCTTTTCATTTCCCTCATACCAAACACACACATACACCCACCAAATGCATATATTTCCTATTCATACAATTAATCAAATTTACAGTTATTCAGGGACATATTCTACATTAAATCTGTGTTTTCCATCTTATAGCATTACAATACAAAGACATTCCCAAACAAGTACCTATATTTACTTTATAATCTAAGAGTGGTTCCCAAATCTGACTGTTTATCAGAAATAGCTTGGGGCACTTGTTTCCTAGGTTCTACTCCAGACTCAATGAATCAAATCATCCTATGTACACAGAAGCTGAATACTTTTATATAAGACCAAGCTGAAGCCATATCTTCCAGAAGCTAGGTTAAAGTATGATTTGATTAATTAGCTAGTTTGCCTATATTAATGATTAAGTACCACTTCTCACATCATCATTCTTCATGACCTAGTCTAACGTGGAAGTCATATGTATAATGCTAAGTAGCATCACTGTTGTAAATAGTAATGTATTTTCAAAGTGATGTTAAAAGCATTCAATAATCTATCTCACTTGAGAACAGAAAATTATACCCTTGCCCAAAATTTATCTACAAATGAAACTTAGAATTTTAAAAAGTCTTTGTGATATAATTAGAATTTTTTTTTTTTTATGATTCAATAGTGCCTCCAAGCTTTGGATTTCTTGCACTCAAACCAAGTGATCCATAGAGACATAAAGAGTGACAATATTCTCCTCGGGATGGATGGCTCTGTTAAATTGAGTAGGTATTATGATTCAGATGGTATTTGAAAGACTATTGGGGAATTTCTGCTCTTTACTGTATATCTTGAGAAGATAATGGCTACTGGCTACCGAATTTGAAAGCATTTAGAGCCCAGTTTGAAGTAAAGAATTTGTCTAACACTCTTCTTATATATTGTGATAAAATTTATTGGATTTAATATTTCAGAATTTCTAGTGAGTTCTAGAATGGATGGATGACAACTATCTAAGTTTAAGGAAAGAGTAATGGGGAAGTAACTAGATTGGGAGCTAGTAAAAATTACATCACATTAGTCAGTTATTTCTACCCTTTTAAAATCAGGACCCCCTGAGAGATCAGGTAACAAAAGACTATGAGCAAGTATTTGTAGGAGCTCAGTGTCTAATGAAGCCATATCTGAAAGTGATATACTGTAATATATTTTATTATAACCCATCTGTTATAGATTATTTTTAACTGACTTTTGTTCTCTGCAGCTGATTTTGGGTTCTGTGCCCAGATCACTCCTGAGCAAAGTAAACGAAGTACCATGGTGGGAACCCCATATTGGATGGCACCTGAGGTGGTGACTCGAAAAGCTTATGGCCCGAAAGTTGATATCTGGTCTCTGGGAATTATGGCAATTGAAATGGTGGAAGGTGAACCCCCTTACCTTAATGAAAATCCACTCAGGGTAAGTCAGAAGAAAGTCTTCATCTCCCAAGAAAAGGGGGGGGGGGGCAATGTCATTTCTCGCTTCCACCAAAAGTGACCACAATGGGCTCTTTCTTGGATTAAGAAGTAGTAAGTACAATTTTCAAAATTACTGTGAGCTTTTTAAAGTTCATCTTATGATGTCTCAACAGTTTTACAAAGTGCTTTGATATCAGTATTTCTAGTGACAAGGGTCTTTAAATGCTTTAATATAGCTTTCTAATGTTAAAAAAAGTAGTTTTTTTTTTTTAAAATAAATGTGGGAGGGCTCTTTCTTGGATTAAGAAGTAGTAAGTACAATTTTCAAAATTACTGTGAGCTTTTTAAAGTTCATCTTATGATGTCTCAACAGTTTTACAAAGTGCTTTGATATCAGTATTTCTAGTGACAAGGGTCTTTAAATGCTTTAATATAGCTTTCTAATGTTAAAAAAAGTAGTTTTTTTTTTTTAAAATAAATGTGGGAAGAAAATAGTGTTTTCCTTAGACGCCATTGTTAAATGATCTATCTAAGAGATACTTGCTTTAAATATTTTAGCAAAGTAAATAAGTGCATTTCCAAAACAACTACAATTTTTTTTAATTAGATTTTCCTTCATTATCAGCAGTGATTTGTTGAGCAACAACAGCTTGGTGGGTATTGAATGGAACACAGTGATAGAGCACCAGCCTGGTGAAATCACAAACTTAATTATACTGTCAAGTAGAAAGTGAATGGAAGTAGTTTGGCTTGGGTAACTCTGTTTGCTACTGCAAAAGCAAAGGTTTGGCTCTCATATGGCCTGGTTATCTTTACAAAGAGAAAAGCCCCATTTCATAGTCTAATCCCACCATCTTTATTCAGAGATGTGCTGTTGATCGTAAGGGTAAAAGACAAAGGAGTATGAAAGAAATGCTTGTTCAATGCACAAGTAAGCCAGCAGGTATTTTGTTGTATATAGTCTAAGGTGAACCAGAAGCTGTGCATCACGTTGTTGAGAAAAGGTAATTATGCAGAATCAAATTCTATTCTCAAAAGGCCTGCACAGTGCCAGCACCAAAGGCATCTTGCATACCATCTGCATTGTTAGCACTAAGAGTTTAAACTGAATTTTACCTTAGTATATGAAAACTATTGTCCTCAGTAAACAGTTGAGAATTTTCACATTATCCTTGTAAAACTCATATTTAAGCCAAATATATGTGGCTTTCTGTATATGTAAAGAAACGTCCAAACTAATTGTTTAGTTGTTTTCACAGTTGAACACTTTGTAACTGGAAGCATTGCTGCCTGTGGAGCCTCTTCCCAATCCCTCCTAATTCCTTTTGGGTACTTGACTCTCGTCCTGCTCCCTATACTGATTAGAAAACAACAGATATGAGTGAATGCTCTAATGAATGCTATGGGCTATTGCTCTGATCTCATGAAATAATCTGGAAGTGAGATGTGCAAATTGATTAGCTGCCTGCAGGGTTGAGTGAAAAGGAAGGGGCATTTTCCCAGCCCTCCATGAATTGAATCAAGTCCACCCCTGACCTATGTACCAACGCATCAAGATAATTACATGGGCTTTTCCTTATTGTTTAGCCACCTTCACCCATGAAGAAAAAAAACACAGGCCTCTTGTTTCCATGGATTTTTTCCTCTAAGGCTTTGTAGTTTGTTGGCACTAAATGGATTATGGCTGGTTTTTTTTCTGCTTTTTAATGAGTAATTTACGAACTGCAAAATTTAAGGATTATATAAATGGCTCTGTAAAGCAACTGGTCTCACTAATACATTTATTAACTTCTTTAGTTCCCCAATTACAATTGATCGTTTTTTCAGCCAGGCTGCTAATTGTTAGAAAAAAAGGAAACAAATTTTAATCTTAATAGGCATCTTCTAGCCTGGAATTAAAACTCATAATTAACAGCTCGTCTCTTAGAATCTACAGCCTTACATTTAAACAAGTACTTGCAGATTAACCACAAGATTCAGGAAGGCTACATTAAGGCTATAACAAAAAGACCTGTCAGAAAGACCACCCTGCTGAGTTCCACTGATAAGAATTTACTCTAACTTTGTTCATTACTCTGTTGTATGATCAGCCTCCAAGTAATCGGTCAACAAGTACATATTCAGCCAGCTCTGTTCTGAACCCATCTCTCCTAGGTACCAGGAGTACTTTGTTTTTATTTCAAATATGCTGTCCTCATGCTCTTATAAAGAAAACATGATTTCTCAAGCTATATGTCCTTACTTAGTATTTGAAAAATATAGTCACTGAAATCATGGGGAGATTGAAAAGTAAATGATATAACAAGAGCCTGTGGGGACCTTGTATTTTCTTGAATCCTGGTAACCAGACTATGTTGCATGTGGAAATAGAAAATGAACCAGAGCATTACAAAAGGTATAAACGATCATTAAATTAGCTCTTCTTTCCTTAAAATTCTCCCAATACTACCTCCTTCCAATTCACCATTTTAGGCTTTGAGCTAGAAAGAAGTAGAAGGAAGGAATAAAATAAATGGAAGGAAGACAGAATGATAGAGTAGAGAGAGGGTAATGTGTAACTGTGAAAGAAATTTGGTCCAGTAGTCAGACAGATCTGGGTGTGTCCTACCGCTATATCCTACAAGCTCTGTGACCTTTTGTATGCCACTTAAAATTGTTCTAAGCCTGTTTCCTATCTGTAAAATGGGAATAATGGGAATGCAGAGTTAACGTGAAAACTAACTAAACAATCCATGTAAAGCACCTAGCAAGGTGTCTACCTCCTTATAGGTAATATCTATATCTACATGAATAAAAAGCAAGAAAGGAAAAAAAGGGGGAACCAGCAGTTAGCGTAATGGCTATGTCGCTGGACTCCCACGTAGTCGACCGCGGTTCGCGTCCCGGACCCGGTGGCTTAAAACTCACGCCGGGCGCGTGTGCGTGCGTGCCCAAGATCCCGAGAGGAGAATGGAGGAGAAGGGATTGCGGCGTGACCATCCCCCCTGGGGGGTGATTTCTCGCTTTCTGTCTCTATGTCTCTCTCTGTCTGTCTGGCGAGCGCATGCGCCCTACAGTGAAAATCTCTCCAAAAAAAAAGAAAGGAAAAAAAGGGAAAGGATGCTTAAAGTGCTTTTTACTCACAAGGGGAGATCTGATTCATCACTTTTTCAAGAACTTTTGCTCTACACTAGCTGCATCCCCATCCCAGGAAGGAGTGGAGGATTCTGTACAGTTAAGCAGTTACCAGGAACAGGTAACACTGAAAAGGAAAGGTTCAGGTGAAGTCTGGAACTAGGTATTTCAAGGTTGTTTGCTTTTCACTGTGACTTCTTTGTGTCTTTATTCATTCCAACTGAGCAAATTCTCTATAAATATCGCCTGTTAACATATGCTTTATGCAAACAGCTACTTTCCTCCCCAGTTAGAAAGTGGTTGGGATTTTTTAATGTAAAGTGCTCTATACTAATTGACCTAATGTGCTCATAAATGCCTTTTAAAGGTCAGAGAGTTGTTAACTGTGCTGATGTTATGAAGTTGGTACCTTTCTAGAGACAGAGAGGAGACAAACTTCTTACTGGTCCCCACTGCACTCCACATAATTGGCCTTAGACTTCTTGTACTGTGACCCGTGGACATTTTTAGTGCAGTCTCCAATAATAAAGTGCCGTGTTCCTTTGTTTGCCAAAATGACTAGGGTTAAAAATTGAACTTTCCCTGTGGATATGCAAGACAGACATTGACATTCTGTCTATCTTCTCAGCTTTTCTGTTAACTGAAGATATCGGGGGTTTTTTTCTTGAGAGTTTTTTTCTATAGGGTGCGTGCACTCGCCAGACAGACATAGAGAGACAGGGAGAAAGAAAACAAGAAATCACCCGTTCAGGGAGGATAGCCATGCCGCAATCCCTTCTCCTCCATTCTCCTCTCAGGATCTTGGGCATGCATGCACACACGCCCGGAGTGAGTTTAAGCCACTGGGTCCAGGACTCGAACCACGGTTGACTACGTGGGAGTCCAGCGACATAGCCATTATGCTAACTGCTGGTCCCTGAAGATATAGTTTTTAAACCCTGTGATTATAATGACCTGATTCTAAATAAGGAGGCTCATTCATTTCTGTAAAACAAAGCTATGGGTTTTGTTTGTTTCTCAGCATCAACAGAATACCTCTTTATTAACTTTGTATTCACTCAGAATGGTGCTGTTTTCATCAATAGGTTTTGATGAAATTTGGTAAAATGTCTCAGGGGTATCTACTTGAAGTCTGTACTAGACCCTTTGGATCTCCTTTTTTATGTGCAATTTTCTCAACCTTTATCCAAGTTGAAATGAACTTAAGTGTTCTTTCTACCTTTGCTTTAAGCATCTATAAAACTGTATCAAACATCAGATTACTGGAAAGCAGTTGTTGATATCAGTGCTAAAACCATTATATAGTAAAGTATGTGAACTACAGGTCTTATACCAGTGGTTCTCCTTGTTTGTGCATTGAAATTATCTGTAGATCTTTAAGAACCAGTGAGACCAGGTTCCTTCCCCTCAGGGAAAAATGGTAGCTGGGACTAAGCCTAATACAAAGATCAAAGACATGTGGCAAGCCCTTTCTAGAACTCTGTCCAGACTGAAAATCAATTCATCATCAGCCCTCTTTGAGCATGATAATTCAGACAGAAAAGAACACACGATCATTATGCCCCATATTTCTCCATTCCATCTAAAAAACTGTAACACTGTCAGAGCCTAGATGCAATGCTGATATGCTATGTCATTCTCTGATTTACCAATTCAATAACACTATTGAAAAAAGAATGTTACTTCAGTATATAACTCCACGATATGCCACTTTATTTTAAAATTTTACTTCTTCTTTGGCTGTTGTTGTTGAGAGGTTTTTGCTATAGGGTGCGTGTGTTCGCCAGAAAGACAGAGAGAGACAGAGAGACAGAAAGTGAGTAATCACCTCCCCGAGGAGAATGGCCACACCACAATCCCTTCTCCTCCTCTTGGGATCTTGGGCAC